ATCAAGATACTTTATTACCTAGAAATACTGTAAGAATAAATAACACACTAAGTTATAATACCAAATTCAGTAAAATAACGATGCATTAAATTTGTAAACACTCGGACTAAGACTTAGTTTTGTTTTCCTTTATTATCTATTCCATTCTATTCTCCAAAAAAGCCTCTTATCTAGTCATAAATGGGGGATCATAGCCTTCTTGAATAAAATTTTAATTAATACTAATTGCCCATGAAGGCATTCGTTAAACTTATACAGAAAAACATCCTTACATCAGAGGAACTCATTCTCTTTAATTGCGTTGTGAGGAAAACACTGTGTGACGTAAAACGGTAATTTTCAAATTCTTTTATTTTTTTCATATAATTCATAATTGACTCATTCTTACCATTAGGATATTATTCTATGGTTATTTTAAATCAATAATTAAGGAAAGCTAATTACGTAAAACAACACCTATAACACATGCACATAAAAAATTGATTATATGAGACATATTCATGTATATTCTGTTTATGATTTGCGAATAAAACTTTGTGAAGACAAGATAAAAAGAATTTGTTAAAAGGTCGCCTTTTATTTGTTTCCCTGCCTTTAAGAACCTTGTCCTAGCAACGACAACTTTCAGCCCCCCCCCCCCTTCCGAGATTTTTCCTATATATTTTTACTGGAAGAAACGGTCACCTATGTAATGTGGCCAGCGCCCCACGGCCTTATGTAAACTGTAAAAGACGGCCAATTCGTCACTTGTTGCGAATCTATCACGTCTTTTAAACACATTCGCTTATGTAATTATTTGGTCTTAGACAACATTAACCTATAAAAGCAGTTAAACAAATTAGATACACTGGACTCAGTTTCTGTTAAAATTTTTTTTTAGACCGACAATTAAAAAATGAGAAGAATTTGAAAAAAATTATTTATTTTCCCATCGATGAAGAAATTCATTCTTAAGGATAGATTTTGTACTTTCTGATATTTGTGCATCATACGTAGAATGCTTACTGTGAGATACATGTATATCATATACCTAGTAGTGTATCAGCCCTGATACAGGCGTTTTGGACAAAGTGAGACAGCGCCTTGGAGCTAGGGCTGTCTCGCCCTCGGGGCTAAGATATCACTGTCTCGGCCCTTTGTCAGCTTGCTGTCTCGCCCTCAAATTTCAAAGCATTATTTCTGTTTAATTTGTGTGAATTAAGAGTAAAATTCATATTTAAGTATTTAAGAGAAATATTTTATATCGAAAATTGAACCAGAATCTCAAAATAAAAATTGATTAATAATGGAATTTTGAGAAAATTGTATTTAAAAAGTGCGCCAAACGATAGCATTTGTGACGTAAGAGAGGTAACTCTTCTTTACTTGTAGGACAGCAACAAATTATGTTTTAACAATAAATGAACGTTTATTTTGCTTTGACAGTTAGACAATTTTATACAAGTTTTTAGCTCTACTGGTCAGAAACCAGAAGAGCTTATGCGATAGTAATGCGTCCGTCGTCCGTCCGTCTGTCCGTCTGTCTGTAAACAATTTTTCAAAATGCTACTCCTCCTACAGTTTTGGTCCGATTTCAATATAACTTGGCACACAAGTAGACTACACAAAGATACATAATTTTGTGCATCGGTTTTTGATTTCGATGAACGGTGTTGCCGTGGTTACTAAAAATAGAAATTTCTGTGAAATTCTTTCAAAATGCTACTCCTCCTACAGTTTTGGTCTGATTTCAATATAACTTGGCACAAAGGTAGACTACACTAAGATACATAATTCTGTGCATCGGTTTTTGATTTCGATGAACGGTGTTGTCGTGGTTACTAAAAATAGAAATTTCTTTGAAATTCTTTCAAAATGCTACTCCTCCTACAGATTTGGTCCGATTTCAGTATAACTTGGCACACAAGTAGACTACACTAAGATACATAATTCTGTGCATCGGTTTTTGATTTCGATAAACGGTGTTGCCGTGGTTACTAAAAATAGAAATTTCTGTGAAATTCTTTCAAAATGCTACTCCTCCTACAGTTTTGGTCCAATTTCATTATAACTTGGCACACAAGTAGACTACACTAAGATACATAATATTGTTCATCGGTTTTTGATTTCGATGAACGGTGTTGCATTGGTTACTAAAAATAGAAATTTCTTTGAAATTCTTTCAAAATGCTACTCCTCCTACAGATTTGGTCCGATTTCAGTATAACTAGGCACACACATAGACTACACTAAGATACATAATTCTGTGCATCGGTTTTTGATTTCAATAAACGGTGTTGCCGTGGTTACTAAAAATAGAAATTTCTGTGAAATTCTTTCAAAATGCTACTCCTCCTACAGTTTTGGTCTGATTTTGATATAACTTGGCATACAAGTAGACTACACTAAGATACATAATTCTGTGCATCGGTTTTTGATTTCAATGAACAATGTTGCCATGGTTACTAAAAATAGAAATTTCTGTGAAATTCTTTCAAAATGCTACTCCTCCTGCAGTTTTGGTCTGATTTCAGTATAACTTGGCACACAAGTAGACTATTCTAAGATACATAATTCTGTGCATTGGTTTTTATTTTGATGAGTGGCAAGGATCATTTTTCTATTTATTGCTGATTTAAAGTCTCAAGTCCCAACTGCTACTTTTCTCTTCCTTTGTTTTAAGTATAAACCAGTAGAGCTACAGTCTCGACAGAGACTTCTGGTTATTTAATGTGCCATTTTTAATTTTATCGTAAACAAAAACAAAGAGTTACTATAATTCTCAGACTTACAAATTGTAACGATTCGAAGTTGTAACCTGAAGAATAATTTTAACTTCGGGACCTTATAAATCTTTGTTATCTAATGTGCTTCCAAATGAAATGTTTTAAAACACCAGGACTATTCTTTTTAATGACCAGACTAGGCAAATTTTTCTCTATATGATTATTCACCGTCGTGCAACATCTTCAGGAACATCGAAATAAAGGAACATAACTCAAATTTTCTTACAACAAAATAATATAAATATTTTGATCAAAAATATCTAAATATTTGTTCTTTTGTTTGATTTTAGCCCCGTGGGGATCCGGGTTAGAATAGGTTCTCAGTACCCCCTTGCTAGTCGTAAAAGGCGACTAAATGGGGTGGTCCTTCGGATGAGACCGTATAAACCGAGGCCCCGTGTCACAGCAGGTGTGGCACGATAAAGATCCCTCCCTGCTCAAAGGCCGTAAGTACCGAGCATAGGCCTAAATTTGCAGCCCTTCACCGGCAATGGTGACGTCTCCGTATCAGTGAAATATTCTGGAATATCCTGCTTGTCGAAGGTAATGATGCTCTCAACAACGGAGAATTCGAGACCAGTGAATTTAATCTCACTTAGAGTGTGCTCAAAATCAAGAGATCCTAAGTACCAAGATATTTGTATCGGACATACCAACAAGGCGGGATTCTGATGGTACTCCAATGAATGAAACGATAAAATATGTCTGTAGTTAGTGTATTAAATGTATAAAGAATGAAAAAATTCAAAATAGTAAAGCATCGCTAGATAACGATAAAAGTGAAATTTACCAAATTCACAAGACTAAAAACATGTAAGCAGTCATTTTGCACGTTAAAAGTTTTTGAAGAATTTTCTGTCCTTGATGAAAAGAAAATGTTTAATTTCTCAGTATTCTGGCGGTAAATAATTCATTTTATTTCATAGTTAAATAAAGAGGGAGTTTGGGCATACTTTCATCAAGATATTTGTTTGAAATTCAAATTTATTTTTACAATATCCGATCAAACATGCGCTGCACATAGACTACAATGTAAATGTCGAGGTGCAATTAATTGGACAATCATCAAAATTTTGTAAATTCTTTTGATAAAGCATTTGTTGTGTTAACATGATCTACTACTAAATGAATTCAAAATATCAGATATATTATTGAATCATGGGATTCATTTATCCAACAATGGAACATCTCCACTTTTGAAATCCTAAGTAACCCACATTAAACGTCATATAAATTCGTCATCTGAATGAGACACAAAATGCAACTGTTAATGTGAATATGTGTTTTTATTGCGGTGAAAATGGTCATTTCTCACAGAATTGTTGGCATGTGTGTAAAATTGTTCGCTGAAACTGCAACTCTTAGGGACTTAAAGCAAAACATTGTTCCTTTTAGGAATTTGGCAAAGAAGAAATTGCCGAAAAACCATTCCTCTTTAAATCAAACCCTGAAGTATTTTAGAAAGTCTTTGTGATGAATGTGATGAAATGTCGTGCAAATGCTCATATCTCTGTAATTCACGCAATACAGTTACTGATGAATCATTAAGATCGGGTTAAGATAAAGATTTTATCAAAGAGAAATTCTTACCTACTAATTTATCCTGAAATAACGAGAAGCCACAGAAAAAAAAAATCAAATTTATAATCATTTAATTTTGGGCTCATCAAAAAAGGTTTTAGATTTGGGAATATTAATATTTGTCATCTGGCCTAAAATTGTCAGCTTACGCTTCTGTTATCGATAGATTTAATTTTGAGAAAAAGGGATGTATTAGGGAAATCGGGAGGAGGAATAATTGTATTTATCTCAAATAATTAACATTACAAACGTCGCAATGATTTTGAAACAAAATAAATGTAATATTTTAATGTTTTATAACAAACGGAGACCTAACAGTCAGCCAATGACTTTTCAGTAACTGATATATGCTTTAATATTTATATCAAGTGTTCGGTATATTATACTACAAAATCTTGCAGGAGGAAGTTTAAACTACAAATCAAGACATGGCAGAAACAACTCTTTGGGCTATTTCAATTTTTGTCTTCTTTGCGGTGTCTAACTCTTCCCTTATCTCGCGGAAATATACAGCAAAACCGGAAAAGGATGATAGGAAATTCGCCAGTGAAGCTAGGAGAATACAATGCTAAATCGGATATACAGTGTGCAGCGCGCTGTCCTAAGGAAGAAGCTGGTCTTAGACATTAAATTCAGATGAAGAAATGTCGCACCCACAAGGAGATGTTCACGTCTGAGGTGTCTAGGGAGGAGGGCTGGAGATACTACTTACAGGACTGTATGTATAACTGTTTAATATTTTTTTCTGTTTGCTTATTTGTTGTTTAAGACCTCTCTGTCGATGAAGATGCAAATCTATACCTATACTCGGCACTCGGGGCCTTTGAGGAGAGATGGATCAACACAGGTGCAAGAATGTGTGAATCAAATCAGTCCAGAAATACGAAGTTTCAATAGCTTCGGAATTTAATTTTTTTTTAATTTTCTTAGGAAGTGTTATTGCGGTATGGCGGCCATGTATATTCCGTGTTGAACAATTTTAAGAAAACAGTCACTTCAATTCGGTGTCTATGTACATTTGATGGCAGTGTATCGTTCTTAACACTGAGAAAAATATAGCTTGTAATTGATTAAATAATCTAAAAAGAGATTTCTTTATGCTAGCTACTCAAAATGTTAGTTTGTTATAACTGTCATGAAAGCTGAAGTAGGTTCCTGTGCCATGAATGAGAAAACACTTCCCCAGTGTTTTCCCTTTATTTCAAAGTATGTCCCCTTGTCGTAATCTGGCAAAGGGAAAAAATAATTCTCTTCAACTCTTCACAACTTTTAACATAATCTTATTTAGAAGTGAATTCCTCTTTAACATTAAGAAATATAAATAATGTTTAAATTTCCAACAAAATAATGGGCTTATTTGAACTGATTAAAAAAATCCGTAAAACAAATGATAGCTTCAAGACTTTAAAATGCCATGAGAAAACAAAAAATAATTTACGATAATGAGAAAGCGCTTAACATAATCAACATTGTAGCTACATCGTTGCTCACATTTTATCTTCAACAATTAATGTATCTCGCAGATATCCTCTAAAATATGTTGTTTTTTTAACTCTACTAGTCAGAGACCAGAAAAGCTTATGCGACAGTAAGGTGTCCGTCATTCGTACGTCTGTCTGTAAACAATTTTTTAAATGTTACACCTCCTACAGTTTTGGTCTGAATTCAATATAACTTAGCACAGCCACACAAGTAGCCTACACTTAAGTACATAATTTAGTGCATCGGATTTTGTTGAACGGTGCTGCCATGGTTTCTAAAAGTAAAAATTTGTGTGAAATTCCGTTAAAACGATAGTAGCACACAGGTAGACTACACTAAGATACATAATTCTGTTTATTGCCGCCTGATGCAAATTTTCAAATCCAAGTGCTACTTTTCCCTTTGATATTCGTTCAAACCAGTAGAGCTACAGTCTCATCAGAGACAATTTTTAGCTCTACTGGTCAGAGACCAGAAGAGCTTATGCGATAGTAATGCGTCCGGCGTCCGTCCGTCTGTCTGTCTGTCCGTCTGTCTGTAAACAATTTTTCAAAATGCTACTCCTCCTACATTGGTTTGATTTCAATATAACTTGGCACACAAGTAGACTACACTAAGATACATAATTCTGTGTATCCGTTTTTGATTTCGATGAACGGTGTTGCCGTGGTTACTAAAAATAGAAATTTCTGTGAAATTCTTTTAAAATGCTACTCCTCCTACAGTTTTCATCTGATTTCAATATAACTTGACACACAAGTAGAATACACTAAGATACATAATTCTGTGTATCGGTTTTTGATTTCGATGAACGGTGTTGCCGTGGTTACTAAAAATAGAAATTTCTGTGAAATTCTTTTAAAATGCTACTCCTCCTACAGTTTTGGTCTGATTTCAATATAACTTGGCACACAAGTAGACTACACTAAGATACATAATTCTGTGTATCGGTTTTTGATTTCGATGAACAGTGTTGCCGTGGTTACTAAAAATAGAAATTTCTGTGAAATTCTTTTAAAATGCTACTCCTCCTACAGTTTTGGTCTGATTTCAATATAACTTGACACACAAGTAGAATACACTAAGATACATAATTCTGTATATCGGTTTTTGATTTCGATGAACGGTGTTGCCGTGGTTACTAAAAATAGAAATTTCTGTGAAATTCTTTTAAAATGCTACTCCTCCTACAGTTTTGGTCTGATTTCAATATAACTTGGCACACAAGTAGAATACACTAAGATACATAATTCTGTGTTTTGAATTTTAATTTTGATGAGCGGTGTTGCCGTGGTTATTAAAAATAGAAATGTCTGTAAAATTGTTTCAAAATGCTACTCCTCCTACAGTTTTGGTCTGATTTCAATATAACTTGGCACACAAGTAGACTACACTAAGAACATAAAGAGACTTTGTCAATGATCATTATTCTACTTATTGCTGTTGTAAAGTTGCAAATCCCAGCTGCTTAAGTACTTTACTCTTCCTTTGCTATAAGTTCAAACCAGTAGAGCTTCAGTCTCGACAGAGACTTCTGGTTTTTCCAGTTATGCCCATAGACTGTAAGGATCTCCATGGAGACGGTTACTTTGACTCTGGTGTTTACGACATCTACCCCCACGGCACCATCACCAGTCCCGTCCGGGTGTACTGTCAGATGGAGACAATGGGCGGAGGTTGGACGGTAATTAGAGAGAACTATATAATTTACATTCAGTGTTTCTCTTGTTCAAAAGAATATATGGATGGGAAAAGTATAAATAAGTTTACTTCACATTATAACATATTGATCATACAATTGTTTGAAACAATGAATTGTATTGCTATTCTTGTTGACATTTGAAGGCAATCCAAAAACGCGTCAACGGATCTGTGAGTTTTGACCGGGATTGGACAGCATATAAAAATGGTTTCGGTTTACCAGAACAGGATGTCTGGGTTGGTAAGTATTAAGAACTTTCAAATAGGAACATTCATTGGCTTCAAAATTTGATAAAATGTGACACTTGCCATGGGTAATATATGCGTTGGACGATTCCTACTTATAGTAATGTAATGATATCTTATATGATAATCATGAAAGCTACATGGCATGGTTTTATAGATTCGAAAATAAACATTTTCTACATTTCACAAATTTAATTTTTCATTAAGGTATAATGATTCATTTTCAAAACAGAAATAATTGTATTAGACTTTCCTATTCATTTCAAATACATCTTAATGCAGGAAATGACATAATCCATCAGTTAACAAAAGACTACAACTCATTCCTTTATGTGTCCATCACTCTCCAGAATGGCACAACGCTGTATGAATTGTACGACAGATTCTCTGTCTCCGACGAAGCTGAGAAATATCAACTCTTTCTTGCTGGGCCAGCTACGGGTACCTTAGGTAAGTGTATTCAAGCTTGGTTATTAAATAAAGTATGCAATCATAATACTTATATCCATAGACAGATTATAAAGTTGTTGAACAATGGAGACAAAGATAATTTGTTATGCCCCCGTAATGGAAGGTTCGGGGGTTTATAGTTTTTGTCCGGATCGTCCATCTGTTTTTCCGCACAAACTTTAACCTTGTACATAACTTTTGAGTGGGTTGATTTTCATATTTCACAGTTGTTTTCCTTCAACCCTCACAAAAAGCTGCAATATGGGGCATCAGTGTTTCACAAACACCTCTTTTTTAATATATACTTTATATACATATATAGAATTTTGAAAACGTCTTTAAATAATTTCACGTTTTTAGCTATCATTGATCCGCCATTGTTACTAAACTTGGATGGTTTTTATTTATTTTTTCTACAATTTACATTTTAAACTACCACGGAATAGAAAGTTTACAGTGCGTGTTTGATATGTTACGTCGACAAGATGTGACTTGTTGATTATTACTGACATAACGAGAGGCCCGTGGGCCACATAGCTCACCTGAGAAACTTTTACAATGCTATTCTTAACCATGCAGATTCGATTTTCCCCTTGTAATACCTATTGTGACAATTTGGGTCATAATATGGACGATCTAAAATCTACGTTACCCCAAGATGCTTCCACTTAAGTGTCAGCTTTTCTGGCCCAATGGTTCTTGAGAAGAAGATTTTTAAAGAATTTGCCTATATATTTCTGTGTCAAATTTCGATTCCCCATTGTGGCCCCGCCCCACCCCGAAGGGTTATAATTTGAACAATTTAGAATCTACACTACCGCAGGATGCTTCCACATAAGTTTCAGCTTTTCTGGTCAAGAAGTTCTTGAGAAGATTTTTTCCTCTATATTTCTATGTAAAAATTTGATTCCCTATTGTAGCCCCGCCGAACTGAACAGGGTCGTGATTTGAACAATTTACAATCTACACTACCCTAGGATTGAATGAATATTGTTTAACGTCCTTCTCGAGAATTTTTCACTCATATGGAGACGCCACCATTTGCCGATGGAGAGCTGCAAATTTCGTTCTTGACTCGGCACTTGGGGCCATTGAGCAGGGAGGGATTTTTTGTGCCAGCACCTACTGTGACACAGGACCTTGGTTTAAACGGTCTCATCCGAAGGACAGGTTTCCATGTCCCAAAGTGGGATTCGAACCCGCGACGTAAGAATTCACTCCTTGCTTCGCTACTTTAGAGCAGACGCTCTAACCACTGCGCCACGCGGGTAACCACTACCTTAGGATACTTCCACATATGTTTCAGTTTCACTACCCTAGGATACTTCCACATATGTTTCAGCTTTTCTGACCCAGTGGTTCTTGAGAGGAAGATTTTTAAAGACTTTTCCTATATATTTCTATTTAAAACTCTGATTCCAAGTTTTGGCCCCATCCAACCACCGGGGGTCATAATTTGAACAATTTAGAATCTACACTACCCCAGGATGCTTCCACATAAGTTTAAGCTTTTCTGGCCAAGTAGTTCGTGAGAAGATTTTAAAAACTTTTTCCTATATATTTCTCAGTAAAACTATTGTATCTTTTCCCTATCATGGCCCCGCCCTACCCCCGGGATCAGCTTTTCTGGCCCAATGGTTTTTGAGAAGAAGATTTTTAAAGAATTTGCCTATATATTTCTGTGTCAATTTTCGATTCCCCATGGTGGCCCCGCCCCACCCCCAAGGGTTATAATTTGAACAATTTAGAATCTACACTACTGCAGGATGCTTCCACGTAAGTTTCAGCTTTTCGGCTCAGGTGAGATTAAAATGGGGTAATGTTATTTTGCGATTTACGCTTCTCAAGAAATTACGTCATAATTCTCAGCGAATATTTAGGAGTCTACTGTATTTTAAAGGATTAGACTGGAAAAGATATTGATTCTTCATATATTCATTTTAAAAATATTCCCCGTGACATTTACCATAATATTTTTTATCATACTTTAAACGTGTATTACAACTGGGACTGATTATTACACTAAAAAATGATTCTATTTTAAATGCAAAGGGAGTTGTTGTATTGCACCTTTTCAAAAATAGTATTTCTCTTTACAGAAGCCCACTATCCTAAATCTACTTCATGTATTAATGATATAAATTACACATGTCTTTGATTGATTGTCTCTACTGCTACAGGAGACAGTATCTTAAACACTGGATTTCCTACCCGTGACCTGTCAGGGATGTCCTTCACTACACGGGACCAAGATAACGACCCGTCCAGTGTCAACTGTGCTGCTAATTATGACAAGAGAGGCGGCTGGTGGTTTAACCGCTGCCACCGAGGCTTCCTTAACGGTCCCTGGTACCCGGCCGACTGGGACACTCCGTGGTACCCAGCAGTAGAGAATGGGACGTCCATCAGGGGGACCGTGATGATGATTAAACGTCACTAGGTATACATCACTAAATCCTAATTAAACGTCACTAGGTACACATCACTAAATCCTAATTAAACGTCACTAGGTATACATCACTAAATCCTAATTAAACGTCACTAGGTATACATCACTAAATCCCAATTAAACGTCACTAGGTATACATCACTAAATCCTAATTAAACGTCACTAGGTATACATCACTAAATCCTAATTAAACGTCACTAGGTATATATCACTAAATCCTAATTAAACGTCACTAGGTATACATCACTAAATCCTAATTAAACGTCACCAGGTATACATCACTAAATCCTAATTAAACGTCACTAGGTATACATCACTAAATCCTAATTTAACGTCACTAGGTATACATCACTAAATCCTAATTAAACGTCACTAGGTATACATCACTAAATCCTAATTAAACGTCACTAGGTATACATCACTAAATCCTAATTAAACGTCACTAGGTATACATCACTAAATCCTAATTAAACGTCACTAGGTATACATCACTAAATCCTAATTAAACGTCACTAGGTATATATCACTAAATCCTAATTAAACGTCACTAGGTATATATCACTAAATCCTAATTAAACGTCACTAGGTATACATCACTAAATCCTAATTAAACGTCACCAGGTATACATCACTAAATCCTAATTAAACGTCACTAGGTATACATCACTAAATCCTAATTTAACGTCACTAGGTATACATCACTAAATCCTAATTAAACGTCACTAGGTATACATCACTAAATCCTAATTAAACGTCACTAGGTATACATCACTAAATCCTAATTAAACGTCACTAGGTATACATCACTAAATCCTAATTAAACGTCACTAGGTATACATCACTAAATCCTAATTAAACGTCACAAGGTATACATCACTAAATCCTAATTTAACGTCACTAGGTATACATCACTAAATCCTTATTAAACGTCACTAGGTATACATCACTAAATCCTAATTAAACGTCACTAGGTATACATCACTAAATCCTAATAACCAATACTTATTTACTTTTAGTTATTTCATGAACATTTGAAATAGTGTATAATAGTAAAGTACATCTTTATATTTCTGACACATTACTTAATTATGTTTTGTTATTTTCAACAGATGGATACTTTTAAGATAGAGGGACCTCCTATTGACGAACAACTACCTGTCTGGCGAAATATTTTTCTTAGAAACAGACAATTTCAACTTTATTTTCGTTTTGGAAATCTATTCATTTCTTTTACATAATGTTTTAAATCAATTGAGGAAACTTGTAAATACTATTTATTATTAACGAGTTTTATGGTTGAACCATGAAATGAAGCAATAAAATTTTATTAATTGTCTATACCGATTGTACCAAGTTAAAATTGTACATTGTATGTGTTGTAATAAATTTAAAATATTTCGTTTTTATTTAAAACACTGCCACATGAAGATCCCTGGAACGGAAATAATGACAAGATTGTTCTATTGTCTAACGTCTTACAATGGAAACTGTTTAATCCGACATAACAATCCGCGAATTCCGACTTTTGAATACATGAACCATTTTCATGACTAATTTCCATGATCTTTAATCTGTGTTACATTACGTATTGTTAACTTTTCTCCCTGTGCATATCGGATAAAACAGCTTTGTACTGAAGATACTTTATGGCAATTACGATTAAGGGACTCCGATCCTCAGCCAGGTTGGACAACTCTTTAATTTATAATTTAATTAAAAAGTCTCAAAATGAAGCTTAAAAATTAAGTCTTTTCATGCAACAATTTTCATTATATATCTCTAAATGTGCTTCAAGGTTCTTTGAATTGCTCAGTAAGGTCTAATAAAAAGTCGAAATTTTTACCCCGTAAAAGCATTTTAAAATTACA